CATTATTATTATTATTATTATCTATAACTTCACCATCCGTTATATCAATAATACTCTTCCCAAAAGAAAAAACTTGGTCAAATGAGGCATCTCTTCGTCTTCAGATTGTTCCTTGTGCTTACTGCCAGAATCGGTCCTTCACGTTGTTCCTGGGTGCAATTAGTATCTAAATCAGGGTCGCTATACTTGGAGACATGACTCCATCTTACAGTCCATTGCAAAATCATTGTCAACAGTCAAAGACGTCACACTCTATGCYGATCTACCAACATTTATCTCCCCTTCCCTTATCACCGGAGATAGTCAAAGAAAAGACCTCTTAATAACCATTTCAGACGCACGCCTTTATTTACTTGAACAGTAGGATAATTKATTTAGCTTAATGCACCGTATGGTTTGTGATGTTTAAAAACTGACGTTTCGGACGTTAGTCCCTCGTCGGAGGACTAACGACGAAGGACTAACGTCCGAAACGTCAGTTTCTAAACATCACAAACCATACGGTGTATTAAGTTAAATCAATTCTCCTACTGTTCGATTCCAAACACCGACGCGGTTAACTAGTTTATCTAGTCTCTGCTATATACAGTCAATTCAAAAAAAACGTCTACTTCAACACTTCCCGCTCGCCTACAAAGGTTCGTGCTGTAAACYAGGCATAACTAGTCAGATAAAATTATGGAGTCAACTCGGCTTCAATGATTGCTACCCAGAGWTCCTTTCGGTCCAGTCGCGTAGGCTTGAGTTGGTCGAAGACAACATTTTTTGAATTGACTGTATACTCGAATTGACAGTCGGCCATGAATCTAACCTGGATAAGAACTTATTACGTAAACAAACTAAGTATAAAGAACTGTTGAATCCTAACAATGTTAATGATTTCAAGAAAATTGTTTTTATAAATTTTTCTCAGTGCGTTAGGAGTTTTTTCGGCTAAAGAGTCAACAACATTTCTAGACTCTTCCACAGTCTCTCGCTCGTCCGTTCCGTCTCCACGCTTAGAGACTGTAACGGTACAATGACCGAAAGGACTTGTGGGTCCCGAAAACTTGGACCCAGCATGCTTTGGGAACCAAAATACTCGTCCACAGTCTCTCTCGTTTCAATATTTTCAAGATGGCGGCGAAAACGAGAGAGA